AGCTCGAAGTGTGCCCCGTGTTTCAGTGGAAAACTCTCATGCAGTCTTCGGTGTAGAAATGTAACTTGGTTTTCTTTTAGCAAAGTACAAATGCGTTTGAAGTGGAGGGAAAATGACTTTTTTGCCCTCCCCCTCCTGCCCCCTCACTGTACATGTATTAGGTTGTCCGATAAGTAATGTGCTTTCTTCGGATGAGAATCTTCCCTTTCCACGGGTTTTCCATGCGATTTTATGTATCATGCCAAAGAAATTGTCTGCTCGTCAGTGTTTCGTTTCTACGAAGATGATGAACTTACCGAATTCCAGGCTTGCCAAGGGGTTTAGGAGACGAAAATTAGCCAAACAGCAACTAACTCAAACTATTTTCCTTCATCTATAATAAATCAGTAATTAACTCTATGCTCAGTCATGACCTTTTCCTAACATTCTATCGTCCGAACTTTCAAAAAGCCGCGTGGTTCTTTTTTGAAATTTAATTTTTTGCCATCCGTTGTACCGTAGCAGTTCTGAAACAGAAGTTCTTTCCTGAAGCTCCATGATTTCACATTGTTTCATGCGCCTTTCGAAAGCTTTTTTCTCCTCTATTTGATTTGTACTTCAACATTTCTTCCATCATGACTTTCATGATGATGAAAAAACTTTGCCTCATTTTATAATGAGAATGAAGACATTACTTTAAGCAAAACTTTTCAACTTGAAAGGCTGGAAAATCATTCAGTGTTGCGAATTTACTTACTCACTACTGTTTCTAGTTATTCCAACAATTTTTCAATGACTGGGCGTTGAAAACTATTAGGTCTAGATTCCAAGGATCCATCGAGAAAAGCATCGAAATCTGGCTGAAAATCCAAATTTTTAATAAAGAAGGACACAAGTTATAGCACAACCCAATAGTGGGATGTATAGAGGAGGTCGTGGCAAAACGGAGGGTGCATTGACTGAGCCCTAATAATGGAAAGTAGAGTTTGAATTGGTTGTCGACATGGCTAATTTGCGTCTCCTAGACCTCCAATTTTGCAGTCCTGAACATAAGGCTGTTATCAGAGTCCGCGATCTGTCGCAGGTTTCGCGCAATTCGCGCGGATCGCAAAAATTGCAAGTGCCCCATTTGAACATTTGAAACACTGAATATGAAACAAGTAGAATCATGAACAGTCGTCATTCAGATCACCATCAAGCAGAAATGGCGGCGGGATTGGAGAGCACCTTGCAGTATTGATCGGGCACTTGTGATTTCTGTGACCCGTCGCGCGAATCGCGCGAAACCTGCGACGGATCGCGGACTCTGACACCAGCCTAACAAGAGATATTACGTATAAACCCAAGCCTAGCTCGTCGTAACTTCGTAATCAACAATACCTGTAGAGATAAAGAAAAAATTTGGTACCGCAATTGCTTCCTTTGAATACTATATAAATTGATGTAAAAATTTGGAAATTCAAGGACAAATTCCTATCTGGAGAAATTACTAATCGGCCAACATGGCCAAAAGTTATTACAAGTACGACGTGATTTGCTGACTCCGATATGCTTTAGTTCAGCAATTTTTTTTCTTTTTAATGTGTCATAAATGTAAACCAAATGCGCTTTTGGTGTGATATGAAGCATTTTAAGCGCTAAATGGGTGTAATACCGGTGGGGGGGGGGGGCGGGTTTACGGACTACTTGATTTTTCCTCAATGGTCCTGCCGCGATGGCTAGAGCACAGACGATTAGAGAATGCCCTAGGACTAAGCCTTGGAGAGGAGAGGGACCCGCTAGAGAGCGCAGAGGCGGTAAAGGGCTGAGTTCAAGTAGTCCGTCAACCGCGCACAGCTGGGTGTCGTATACGTAGACGCGAAATTACTATGTGTGGACATAGGCCCACTGCTAATGGGAAAACTTAGTGGTTCCGAAACGAGACTCTATGGAGCAATTCCACCATTCGCCAGCTTTCCACACAATTATGCTCTGTGACTACTCTCATACCCCTTGATTTGGAGTATTCTTCCCTGACTCAAGTTTCTCAATCTCTGTGTGACATCATAACAGTGGCATTAGTAACATACATTCAGCGCATTTCCTACTATATTCAAAAAACTCAAGCGGTATTACAGCCCACGAGCGATATTGTTTTCGTAATTCAGAAACAATGCGATTACCAGCAGCTGCAGAGCGAAAAAGCTCGGCCGACGAGGTTTACAACAGCGACATTTGCTCTGGAAACAATAATCGGACAGGTGAGATTTTCTTTAAAATTACCTACTTGAACACATTTGTGCAGAAGTGCTGCTGAACATCTACAAAGGTTAATGATTGCAGGAAATTGTTAAACTCGTTACTATGGACTTGATTGTGACAATTGTCTCGATTTTGGTCATAGATTTCCTTCGTGGTCTTTGGATCAAGTACTGCTCGGCCTGGTGGTGTTGGATATTGAAACAACATTTGTGAGTGACCTTAATTATCGATCTGGTAACCTCACTTTTTGAGTGCTTTGTTTATCTTCAGACGCTGTTTACCCAAAAGGGGGAGGCAATTTGCTAGGTGGCTAACGTTTAAGTCGGTCTAGGGGACAAGGATTTCCGGCCTATGCCAAGGGAGGAGTAGAAGTCCTGAGGTGTGGACCAGTTTTCATAAAATGCGAAAACCACTTCTTCGCGCAAGGTTTATTCTCTTATGCTCGACAGCTGCTTTCTATTCAAGTAACTCACCCCCCGTTCAACAAGTCCTCTTTGCCAACTTCGTATAGCATACATTATAAGAAAGGAAAAGAAAAAAAAACAGAAGCCGAGTTTAAAGCCCGTAAGAGGTCCACTGACCAACAGAAAGGCGGAAAAACGAAAGAAAGAAAAAAAACGGCAAAACACAGCGGCATGAATGAAATGATTGCTCTACTCAGTTCTGAAGACCGTGTCGTAGAAAGAGAGAAAAGCCCACATACTATATGCCTCCGTCTATCTGGTCGCTTTTCTGGGCTACCTACGCTATGACGGGGTAATGATTCGCGTCCGCCAATGCTGCGACGAGCCCTTACGGAACCGCTCTCACCCCCCTTGGCTGTCTAGAATGAATAAAAGCATAAAGACCAAAGACAAGAATTATCTACACACAAGAAAAGATTATGAATATGAGACTTACGGAAAAAAGGAAGCTAATTACTACAACCGCAAAAGAAAGAGAAAAGAAACTCACCGACTACTAACCGCCGGGTGGAAGGGACCTCGCTGCTACCACTCAGGACTCTGGGTTCGCCAGAGTCGAATCCGTCTGTTCTCCGTACAATACAGGACAGAATAATGCAACTATTTTATTCAGTCACCAGTAGAATAAGGCGCAGTGAAGTCGTGCTGACGGCGGGTGGTAGACGGCAGGGTTGGTCACCAGCACAGGTCCTGTAGCTCCGGATCACCGGATCGAGACGAACGTCGTGGCGGCGGCAGGCGTCGGTGGAGGAGAAGCCTCGTTCGATGCGCGTCCAGAGTTTAAGTACCGTGCCGGCTGACGGCCTGAAATCAGCGCTTCAGATCTTCGTACTGGCATTCCGATGCGCTTGAGAAGCCTGTAAACATAGCCTATCGATTGGAAAAGCCTACAGGCTTACAATGGGAGGAAAATGCGTGGCGCATCCCAAAAACGGAGTTGCTCAGCGCCGAATGCTTTTTCCTTTGTCCTTTATTGTGAACCATATTAGTCTTCAGAACAATTCAATTACTGAAGGGTATATAACAAGGTTTTGAAAGGCTCTCTCATCTCAAATCTTTTCAGCCAGAATACGGTGAGTTCAAAGTGGCCGAGAACGTGCTGCACATCATCAACAATCAGGGAATGATCTGGTTGGGATTGTTCTTCACGCCGTTGCTACCGGCTCTAAATAATATTAAACTAGTAATAATTATGTATATTCGTGGCTGGGCTGTCATGACATGCAATGTTCCGGCCAGAGAGATATTTCGCGCCAGCAGGTGAGTAGGTTTTCCGGTGAGCTCCGGTTCTCAGAGAATGTTGAGTAAATTCGAGAAAAAAATTTACTTTTTTTTCTAATTTTTCTCCTACAAACATCCTCTCATGAAGTTGAGCGGCAGATCGATAGGATCATAGCAATCCCGAATTTTCGAAAATCCGGGATAGCTGTCTTTCGAAAGCCTATTTTTTGAAATTGGGACGAATCCAGAATTACTCCTCAAAGGCAGCAAACGCGATCGCGGGAGGCGGAGGCAGTAGAATGACTTCATTGGTGGAGGAGCGTTGGGAGGCGGTCCGACCCAATATCCTAGCGCGATAGGTATGTGGTCGAACCGGATGTCCCCCAAGAGGCCCATCGCGCGGCGAAGGAAGAGACGCAGACGCGGCAAAGGACGAGTCGCAGCGCATACTGTAGCGGTTAGGCGTCAGGTTAAATATAGAGTGTATCATACTACGTCTCATAT